AGATTTAGCCGTCTAGCAGGCGTCTGTCTCTCCTTCCAGCAGCCTTCATCAACTGTAGGTTTATTGTGTGAATAAGAATAAAATAGACACAAATAATCAGCAATCACACATTTTATTTTTGTTGCAAAAAAAAAAATGCCCACAAAGATATAAAAGAAACATTTGAGTAAGGCAGTTAGCACATCATCTCGCTCACCTCCAGACTTCAAGAGCATCACAAGAACTACAGGAAGCAGTAGAAATCATCCGACATCTCTGGGTCTGACTCTGTTATACATTATTACTGCATTAGAAACTGTATTGGATGATTGGATGCATCATAAATGATTAAATGATTGCAGTATTCAAACATCATCCATATTCACAAGCAACAAGCGATTCATATATGTGGAAAAATGAGTAAACTGTGTTTGACATGAGGTTAAAAAACAAAAAAACTCTGGGCCTGAATAGTTTTTACAAACAGAAGCTTCTTTTCAAAATTGTGAGCTTTTAAACCGAAACATATCCTAACATCTCGTACATCAGCCCAGATAAAAATCCCTCTACAGATTTGGCAACCAATGTAATCCACCTTATAAGGCAGAAAAAACATGATCTTATAAAATGCAGGTAAATTAGTCTTGCTGTTGGATGATGATTTGTTTTTAGCAACTAATCAGTGAGGATGTTTTAAAAAATCTGCACGAACTTAACTTTATACTTGATACAAAAAATACTGATGTTTGATTAACAGAGAAAAAAAAAAGTAGAAAATACAGGTTTCACAATAAAAAAAAATGAGATCATGCAAACGATTTCATTCAATTAAATCCCCTCCAAGTATAAAGCAAAACTAACGTCTGTAATTTTACACAAAAGCTTTAATATCGATTTAGTAAGGATTAAACTCTTGGGAAAAGTACATTGAAAATGAAGATGAATGCTGATTATTTAATTTCCAAATATGATCATATATTCTTATAGCGAACACGAACATTTAGCCACATGATGCCCTGTTTAGTAGCAGAGGGGAGCATATGGATGTGAGAAACCCACAAAGTAGGATTACTATGAGATGCATCATGGGTAATAATCCTCCCCCGAGGTAAACGCTGACCCCCATTACTGAAATTATCACCGCCATCTGAGGATTTCCTGCCTTTTTTCCCCCACTTAGGGGTCTCTGATGCTAAAGTAACATAATGGGAACCAAAAACTGAGATTACTGATTACTGGTTGGTGCAGAATTCCCACCAGTGTTTCTTCTCTAAAGTAGAGCGTAAACATTAGAGGGACCGCTGATCTCAGAGGGATCAGCTAATGGATGTAGTAGGAAGGTATTTTAGCACCCTGTGAGGACTGTGGTTTGGGCTGTGAAAACTGAAATGGAAGAAATAAAGAAAAACTGTTTTTAACCCACTTTTCAAGTCCCATGTTTACGTCTCACGAAAATCAGCACCTGAGTGAGTAAAACTAAAATCTGGTGTTCTGTTGAGCTGCGATGCCCTCTGGGACGTGAACAGTGCGGCGTGTTTGATCTCTGCTTTTACACCGTTTTCCTCGCCGTTAGTACCCTGACAATGCTGCCCACTCCTCCGGCGGCCAGAGCCTGCAAACACAGCCAGAATAAACACAAAATGAACAAACACTGAAGATATTTTATTTCAGTTGAACATAAGAAGCCAAACAAACTTAATACCTTCACTGCAAAGAGTTATAATCATCAGTTTTTCTATGGTTATTTATGATCATGACTTTTGATCAAGATCAAGACCACATAAAGCCAATAAAAAAAATAATACTCAACAATGGATTACTTTTGCTGTAGCACACAATGAATGGGGAAGAATTGTGACTTCTAAACATAGAAGGTAAGTTGGCTTTTTAAGAGTAAAGCAGCAAACATATTATTGGAAAAATTGAGTGAAAGGAAAAAACTTTAGATTAATGTTTAAAAGGAACAGGAAGGATCTTAGTCTCCAGAATTATTAAGTTTGGGAGAAATAAGGTTTGGATTCATGCTGGATTCAGTGTTTCAAAGGAAATCACACAGAAATGCATTGAAAGCAGTTGTAACAGCTGTCTGCATGTGGTTGGAAAATTTAGATTCTCTTATTTCTTTTTTTTTAATATACTTTATGTTTATTGAATGCGTTTCATTTAACAATCACATACAGAACGAAAACCACTGTCGACAAGAAGGGTTACTTACATCCTGATAAATATGAAAAGATACAGGATGAAAACAGATAACAAATTTACATTTCAATCTTTGGATTTTTGAGCAGCTTTTGAAGTGACAGTACAAGTGACCTGAGTTATCAGTTATTGTTTTCTAGAAATCTAGTCCATTTGTTCCATCTCTTTTTATAAAGATCCGACTGCAGTCTCAGCATAAATGTTAACTTTTCCATTTTGTGGGTTTCCTCCACCAGTTCCAGCCAGTTCTTTATTGTTGGTGGGTCAGGTTGTAGCCATTTTCGAGTGATCAGTTTCTTGGCTGTAGCACTGAAGATTTTTAGTAAATAT